TGTCTCCTCCCCTTCCCTTCCACTCTCTCTCTAAAAAAAAAAAATCAATGGAAAAACCATCCTCCAGTGAGGATTAAAAACATAAATAAATAAACAAACAAGCACAACACTTTTAACTAAATTGAGACATTTGAAAATTGACCCTTTCTTCTTCCTCCCTCCCTCCCTCCCTCCCTTTCTTTCTTTCTCCAGAGCGCTGGGGCTGTGTCCCGCCAGGGGGGACACGGGGGCGTGGGGGCAGAGGGGGTCTGATAGGTGTCTGGGGCGGTGTCCCACCGGGGGGACACGGGGAGGCAGAGGGGGTCTGATATTTGTCTTTTTTTAGGAAAAAGAAGAATTTATTCACTCAAGACTAAAAGCAAAGGGCCTGGGCCTGAGAACTGAATCAGGTGAGTTCGTTCGTTCTTTTTCTTGCTTAAGTAACGGCATGAGGAGCTCAAAAGGAGAGAGTTCAGGGGGCGGGGCAGGCGCCCCAGGGACTCGGTGGACAGCCCTGCCTCCCCTGCTCCCTCCACTCTCTGCGAGGTCGCCCTCGCTGATCCCGGCTCATTTCCAGCGCATGGTCTCCTCCGCCCTCCGGCACCAGCTCCTGGTCTCGGGGTGGTCCCAGGCTCCCGTGAGTGGAACGGGGAGGCCCCTCCAAGTGTCCCGTCTTTGTCTCCGTGCCCGGCTACCTCTCAGCGTTTCCGCTTTCCCCGTGCTTTAACCTCGCGGTAGTGCCGCCTGTTGGTTCTCTTCCTCGTGGGTGTGGCCGGGCCTGTAAGTGGGGTGGGCAAGCTTTTCTGTAACCGGCTGAGGGTAAGGGCTAGTCCGGGGGCCCGGGGTCTGCCTCCCTCCGCAGCTGTGCCATGTGCCGAGGGGCCAGTGTGTCCAGCAGGCACCGCTGACAGTCCCGGCTGCAGTCGGCAACGCCCGCCCCAAACCCTCTCTCGGCAGCACAGCCAGGCGTCCCACCCACAACCAGCCCGACAGTGCGCCCAGCCAGCTCCCTGCAGGATGACAGCCCCGCCCTCCCTGCCATCCCCCATGCCCGGCGCTCCGACCTGGCAGCAAAAGGACCCAGGACACCCGGTCCTCCCGTCTCAGGCCCGCTGGCCCCACCCCGCACCTCCTCGGCTTCCTCTGCCTGTTTATAGCTCCCGGTGCGAGGAAGCAGCCAGCACAGGCTGGCCCCGGGGTCAGGCCAGTGCGGGGGGGCCCTGGACAGCAGAGAGCCAGGCTGGGGTTGTGTTGAAGGAGCGTGGCTGCTGCCATGGAGACAGGGCTGGGCACAGTGTGAGGACAGCGCCTGATGCACCGTCTGCGTCCAGGAGACAAGTTCAGTCCGGACAGCAGGATGGGACAGGGTGGGACGGTGGAACGCTGGTTTCCAGTAAACATGGGTGAGTTAGTGGTCCGCCCATCTTTTTTTTTTTTAATTGATTGATTGATTTGAGAGAGAGAAACATCAGTTAGTCGTTCCACTTACTTACGCACTCACTGGTTGCTGCTTGTGTGTGCCCTGGCCAGGGACTGAACTGACCTTGGTGTATGGGCGATGCTCTAACCACCGAGCCACCTGCCAGGGCTCTTTTTCTTTTCTTTCTTTTTTAAAGAGCATTTTTATGAGTTTATTTGGGCCAAACTGACCACATTGCTGGGAAGTAAGATCTCAAATGCCCTTCTCCCTCTTACATTTACTCCTCTGTCTTTATTCTTCTTGATGCTATTGTAAATGGAATAGTTTTTCTAGCTTCATTTTCAGATTGATTGTTGCTGGTGAATAGAAATCAGTTGACATTTATATTTTGATCTTGTGTCCTGCAACCTTGCTAGACTTGTTTTTTAGGTCAGTAGTTGTTTGTGGGTTCCTTTCCCTGAAGTATTCGTGTGTAAGTTGAAATTTATTTCCAGGTCAAAAGGCGACACTGAATGCAGAAGAAATGGCTGACTTTTATAAGGAATTTCTAAGTAAAAATTTTCAGAAGCACATGCATTATAACAGGTAGGTGATTCCTTTTTTCTTACTGCTCCCCCGAGGACATTTTTCTATTGATTTTTAGAGAGAGTGCAAGGGAGGGGGAGAGACAGAAAGAGAGAAACATAGATGTGAGAGAGAGACATCGATCGGTTGCCTCCCACAAATGCCCCGACTGGAATCAGGGATTGAGCCTGCAACTAAGGTACGTGCCCTTGACCAGAATCGAACCCGTGACCCTTCAGTCCACGGGCTGATGCTCTATCCACTGAGCCACACCAGCTAGGGCTATTAGGTCCTGTTGATGAGGAGTCATTCATTCAATCGGATGCAGTGGCGGTATGTGGTGATGTGCTTTTAGAGAAGGTTTAGCGGCACATAATGGTGTGTATTTCAGGTGAAACGATAGGATGTGATGTTTGAGATTTGCTTTATTATTTGTTTATTTTAATATACATACTAGAGGCCTGGGGGTTCCCTCAGCCGGCCTGTGCCCCTCTCGCAGTCCGGGACCCCTTGGGGGATGTCCACCTGCCGGCTTACATGGGGAGCGGGCCTAAGCCAGCAGGCGGACATCCCCTGAGGGGTTCTTAGCACTGCCACGGAGGTGGGAGAGGCTCCTGCCACCACTGCTGCACTCGCCAGCCATGAACCCCGCTTCTGGCTAAGTGGCGCTCCCCCTTTGGGAGTGCACTGACCACCAGGGGGCAGCTCCTGTGTTGAGTGCCTGCCCCCTGGTGGTCAGTGTGCGGCATAGTGACCGGTTGTTCCACTGTTCGGTTGATTTGCATGTTAGCCTTTTATTATATAGGATTTTTTTATTTCAGAGAGGAAGAGAGAGGGAGAGAGAGATAAAAACATCAATGATGCCCTAACTCAGCAGTTCTCAAACTGTGGGTCACGACCCCTTTGGCGGTCGAACGACCCTTTCACAGGGGTCCCCTAAGACCATCCTGCATATCAGATATTTACATTACGATTC